GGGGGGGAGGTGAGGCAGAATTGCCTCCATCTAAAATGAAGGTTTAGAGTGCTTGATTTCAATCCGTTGGCCGCAGTTTCAAATGCCTCCATGGTTGCCAGGGTTGTTTCTCGGCAGAGCCGCGTTTGGTACTTCATTCGCTATTAAAAACAGTCACCTGGTTTGCTCGCGACCAATTGGCGTTTTGATGCTTGTTATCTGGATGTTCAGAGTCATTAGGTACTTTGTCAGCTCCAGAGAGTCTCTCGTGTTTTTGGTTTTATCTTGGTGTTTTTTTGTTTTTTTTTTTTTTCGCTTCAATGTCTAGTTGTTTGTTTTCAACATTATTAACATTATCATCATTGCCTGTTGTATTACGGCCTAAGGAGTCCTTTTTAGCAGGAGCATCCTTCCTTCGTCGTTGAAGATCTCTGTCCTTTTTGTCGATTCCTCTCAAGGACTGAGATGTTTTCCGCGCGTTCCACGGTCGTCATTTATGGCTCATTTCGTTGTTTCTTTGGATTGATACACCAAACTTGGTGCAATCTGTTCATCAAGGCAGCGGAACACTTACTGAAGAGAACTGAAAATGGTGCTAATGTAGACAAGATTATTGCGGGCTTCTTGACCAACTACGTTCGATGTTTCTTTAATTTAGATTGAAATGCTGCGTATCTCACATGACAACAAAGGTAGTGCCGCTGGATGGTTTCTAGATAATGTCACAGTAGACATCCCTTCACGTGGAGAACACGTGGTTTTTCCATGTCACCGTTGGTTAGCAGATGATGAAGACGACAGTAAGATTGAGAGGGAGTTGTACCCTGGACAACAGACTCAGAGCAACCCAAGTGAGTTACGTTTTTGTTCTTTCATTTTCCCAAGTAATATCTAAGAAGTAATTAGTATGACGTTCATATGAAAAAGGTACACGCAAGAATTTTTAATCAAAGGAATCTGTTTTTGTTGTTGTTTTTGTCTGAGTAGAAATCCCTCACGAGGTGATGGTGTACACGGGTGATGTCAGAGGAGCTGGTACAAACGCAGGTGTATTTCTCGTCATGTATGGTGAGAATGGCAAGTCCGACCAGTTTGACCTGAGAAACAAGTCTGACAACTTCGAGAGAGGCCAGGTTGACAAGTTCAAAGTAAGTTTTTGAGGATTAAGCGAAGTCTCGCTCCCAAGTTCTTCTTCCCGGGGCGGCAACAGAGGAAGCCCGGAAACCCTCTGATAGAGGATGACAGAAATAAGTAGGAATGAATTTTTAAAGCGGGTGCAAAACCACTATATTGACGAACAAAATTAATATTGCGGTGTATATAGAAGGTAACTGCTAAACGCTTTCTTGTTCATTTATAAAGAGAATTTTGCGTCATATCGTCGAAAAGGCTGTTACGTGACAAGTGTGTTTCCTCATTCTACCGCTTTGCTGGATACCATATTGATATTGTAAAGAGGATTTACATGTTCATCGCTTCTGGGAGTGCTAGGATTAACTCTTCGAACTTTTATCAATTTACCAGGTAGAGTGCGAGGATATCGGACCGTTGGTAAAAATTCGTGTTGGTCATGATAACAATGGAATGCGCTCAGCCTGGTTCCTAGAGAAGGTAAAATGATTTTGTTGAGTCTTTTTAAATTTATTGTGGGAGACACGATGGCGTGAGAGTGGGTGCGCTGGAATCCTAGCCATCTGACTGTATTTTCGTCTTTAAAGTGCCTCTCCGTAAAAAATAAAATAAAAAAAAAACAAACAAACGAAACAAAAAAAGAAGACAAAACATCGCTGAGCTTTCAGTTGTGGTTGCATGAAATTTTGTTCTTGTCTCCAAGGTCGAAATTCGGCGCTTGAAGCCCGAAGACAAAGAACCAAGCAAGAAACGGCGAAATTCTGGGGAGGTTGAAGAGAAGAGTGATGGAGATGAACATAATTATCTGTTTGTGTGCAACCGCTGGCTGGCTCGGGACGAGGACGACGGTCAGATCGTGAGGGAACTGGTACCCGTGGACTCCAGTGGCAAACCACTGGGAGGCTCACTTGAAGGTAACTTGAACCGCTGAGCCCAGTGAAGTACAGCGGGGTAACGTGTGCCAAGGGTGCTTTAGCTAGAATGATCATTTTTTGTTTGTTTTCCATCTTTCATCCAAATGTTCTATTTTATCTCTGATAGAAAACACGTACCGTGTCCACGTACACACTGGTGATGTTTCTAATGCTGGAACGAATTCCAATGTGTTTATCTGCTTATATGGTGAATTTGGCGATTCTGGAGAACGAAAGCTGGATAAATCTGAAACCCATATGGACAAGTTTGAAAGGAATAATGTGAGAACTGTAATTGGAGCGTATTCGTGGATTAAAGCAAGGGCTCATGTGTCCGTAAACATGTCGTGCGTTCCATGTAGGGCCGGTTATTTAAACAAATTTTAGCTGTTGTTAAACGAGACCGCGTTCAAAGCCATCTTCAATTGAGCCGAACCTTTTATATGAGCATTCATTTTTGTGAACAGTGTGAAGAGGGCCAACATCTATTAGCGGAAGAACATTTATTTCACTAGATTAACCCTCTTGTAGAGAATCCCCAAGGCCCATTACTTGCGTAAAACTGCGGTTTGGATTAGACCTTGTGTAAATAACCGGCCCGCAGAGTTTAGATGCGTGTATTTCACTTCAGTGTATCTACAAAGGTAGATTGGATTGGGCAACGGAAGGGAATCGATGATCTTACATATGTCTTTTTGTTATGCGGTGTGATAATTGCATTCACAACGTTGTCCAGTGGGTAAATTAGCTTGTTTACAAGCAAACGAGCGCTCCGTGTGGGTTCACCTTTGTCTTGCGTAGCTGACGGTTTGCATTCGCTTTTAAGCGGTAAGTAACAGAGCCTTGTGCACCCTTTCGCTCACTCCGTTGATGTGGTCATGGAACTGTAAATAGAACGGTGATAAGAAGTCAAGAGTTTGGAAAAGTGTTGAAGTCGTGAGACAGTTTTGTACCACTTCATTGTCGTTACTTAGATTGAATGTGTGGCATTCCCGCCTATTTTTTGTTTCCAACTCTTCTCGCGTAAGATCAATATTACCTCAAGCTCTTATTGTTGCTGACATCAGATGGATGTATTTCTTGTTTTTGTTCTTTTTTTTTTTTTTTAGGAGGACATATTTTCATTTAATTGCGTTAACCTCGGCCCACTCAGTAAAGTCAAAGTGTGGCATGATAATAGTGGATTAAAGAGCGCTTGGCACTTAGACAGGATCGAGATTGAAGACAAACTGGCAGAGGAGAAGAGCGTATTTCCTTGTAATCGGTGGCTTGCTACCAGCGAAGACGACGGCCAGATTTGTCGCGAACTTGTTGTAGTTGATGAGCGAGCTTTGAAGCTGGAGCGAAAGAGGACTTTGTCCAGAAAAACAAGTGTTATTTCCAACGTTGACGGTGTGGATCTTGAGGCTAAAGGTAGGTTTCCATGCTACTTGTGGTTTTGAACGAAAATAGAAGATATCCCACAAGTTGATATACCAGCCTGCGTATATTTTCAACTTCTATTAAACTGCCAAGGAAAATGATTAAACTTGAATCATGAATACCGTGAAATAAAGTATTAGTAAGTTGCGGAAAGAGGAAAATCTATTTTACAGATATTGCGTCTTTTGTTAGTTAAGAATCTGTCTAAGTATTTCGTACAATGATGATTTGTTCCTCAATATTATATCGCTATCATGTGACCTCTTGTAGCCCGTATCACGACCTACGAAGTCTCCGTTATTACTGGTGACGTTAGAGGAGCTGGCACCAATGCAAATGTATATATTATTATGTACGGAGTGGAAGGGGATACAGGTTGGTGAAATGAAAACTGTCTTCATGTACTGATCATAAGTTGAAGCGTCGCAGGAAGTTGTGAACTTTCCATCCATCCTTTATGGTATTGTTTCTTGTTGTTGTTGTTTGTTTGATTTCATTTTTTCCTGTTTGTTTTTCGGTTTTACTCGGAAGGTGTCACTATATTTTGTTACCAATTTCTCGTCAGGCAAAGTTCCTCTCAAAACCTCGAAAACATTCAAGAATAAATTTGAGCGTGGCCAAACAGATGTCTTCACTATTGATGCTAAAGTTGGAGAAATTGACAAGATCAGGTAAAACGAGAGTACGAAATGAACCGAGATTAGATAGAAGAGAAAGTCGTGGTACTTTTAAGCTCACTAGTGGATACGCTTACCCTATGACAGCCTGCTTGCTGCAAAGAAGAGGCAACGCTCGAGACAGTAGAGTTCTAACTTGGACTATTATTCCGTCATTTTATGGCAATGTGGAGTAACTTAACCATCTCAATATGTAGCATTGTCATTCAATCACTGTTCTTGCTGCAGAATCGGCCATGACAATAAAGGTGGATTTGCTGGTTGGTTCCTGGACAAGGTGATTGTCGATGCCCCGTCCCTGGGTCAGAAAGCTGTGTTCCCGTGCGGCCGCTGGCTGGACAAGGGCAAAGATGATGGACAGTTGGAGAGAGAGCTGTTTCCTGGTGTAGACACAGAGGAAGCTTATTCTCCATGTAAGGAAATCACTTTGAGTCGTGTCATTTATTATTCCACGAGTCACATTACGTACCGTTATACTATATCACGTTACGTCAATCACAATTTATCACGCTCCAGACTGTTTTGACTGTTTCATTTCATTCAAACGCGACAAAAACTTAGGCAATTTTTTGGTCAGAAGTTCTTTTCAGACTAATGAGCAACCAGGCACTTTTAAATGCGCTCGTGCACGATGCAAAACGTGTCCTTTCATTCACAACACTGATAAAATATCGGGACCTAAACGATCCATTAAGATCACCGATCACTTCACGTGCACCTCCGCTAATGTAATCTATTGCATAACTTGCACTTATTGCAAAAAGATATACATCGGCGAAACAGGCAGAAGACTAGGTGACCGATTCCGAGAACACCTTCGAGACGTGGAAAGGAATGACAAGGACACATCGAAACCAGTCGCTAGACATTTTAATTTACC